ATAGGCGAATCTTGGGATGCTACAGCTTTGCAATCCTCACTTTATCTACCCTATCTCTGCTGTTTCTAGGGACCCCACCAGCATAGTTCCTCAGTTCTATCCTTCCCCACCCAGTCCCCTTTATTTCTGCTATTGGAAGGCATTTAAACCCAATCATCTGCTGCAATCTTTCCTTCACATGCTCTTTACTTTGAATGCTTAGGAAGTAATAGATACAAACAGGTTAGCATGTCTGCCCACCAGGTTGGAAGACAAGAACAATAACCAAGACTTATTTCAGAGTGGCAGCCGTGTTAATCTGTATCAGCAAAAAGAACGAGGAGTACTTCTGGCACCTTATGCTCAAATAAATTTGTTAGTCTCTAAGGTGCCACAAGTACTCCTGTTCTTTTAACCAAGACTTAGACCTTCCTGTATGTAAAAGGAGGCAATCCAGGAAATGCAATCAAACCAGGAGCATGTGAAAATACATGTTAGATCAAAGAAAATGGCTTCACTTACTTGTTGCTGGGGCAGTAAGAGAGAGCTTGATTCCCTGCAGGGAAATAATCTGCTGAGGGAGGACTTCCAAAGTGCCGCATTCTGCATGTGTGCTGGTGATAAAGCATCAGCTACTCCACAGGATTAGGATTCCCCATCAGCTAACTATGACTAACAAATGGAGCTGACATCACTCATCACATCCTGCCCAATGAGGAACATGTTAAAGCCACGTGCTCTCTTTGGAATGGTTACTATTAGAGACACTCTGCAGACTCTCTGCTAGGGCTTCAGTCATTCACTTGTGGCCTTCACATGAGGGGTTGCAGGCTGGCTTTGTAGGATGCAGCCTTACTTTCCAGAGGGGTGGTGTCAGACAGGCAGATTTCAGTGCAGATGCTTCGCCACTGGGAAGAGGATGGAATCCACCACACAGGTGCTGGACAAGGTTATGAAGGAAGATGTCCATTTAACAGGTTAAAACTTGTATATGATTAACAGCAGCATCTGCAGAGACACTAAGCAGGATAACCTTCCCCCAGAAGACCAAGCCTCATGCTTCAGGGCATAAACTGATATCGGGGTCAGGAAGGAATTTCCCCCCCACTTGGTACCACACAGCACAGTTCAGTCCTCCATGGAGGAAATACAGCCCCAGGTAAAGGGCGTAGTCTCAGATAAGACCTCAAAAGTAAGTTTTAAAGTGGGACTTAAGTGCTGCACAGACATTCTGCTGCCACCTCTACAAAGGGATGAATTTTGCCATCTGGAAGATAAACATCTGAAGAGTCCAGCACTGAGGAGTAAGACAGATAGGCTATCAGGCTAGATAGCCAAAAGGCCAACAAGAGACAATTAAGATCAAGTGCTGTATGTCACTATGAAATGGGCTTTTGGTGTGTGCCAGTGGGGAAATTTTTGGGATGCAACCCTCATGAGCCCAACTGAGGCATAATGCACCAGATGGTTAGCTGGTGTAAGGAAGCTCCACTGGCACTCCAAACCGGAGTTATTCTCACCCTGTGAAACCTTTCCCCTGCTTTAACACTTGCTTATTCAACTTAGTCTTGTCTCCTCTTCGCCATCAGCTCTAAGAAAACAAATACACACAAACTCAGCAATCTCAGTAGCATTTCTATCCGCAAAGTGCTTTATTTAAAAAACAAAAAAGGATCTAACTCGTGTGCTTTGATAACGTATTGAATTGTTACATAAGCTTTTCTCGTTAATAAATGAGGCATTGTCAAAGTCATGGTCAAAATACATAAAAAGCATTTGTCACATTACAATACTTTAAGTAACAAAAATGATAGACAAACCTTTATAAAAAAAAAAAAAGAAAAAAAAAGGTACCATTTAAAAAAAGCCTACCAAGTTACACTACAAAAACTCAAGAGGAAGAAAATCGCCACAAATTTTAGTTAGCGTTAACGACATACAAAGAGATATTGCTAGTTTAGCTCCAGAATGAGAGAGATTTACACAGATGTTCTACATATGTCAATGATAAAGCAGATATTGCAGGTGGTAAGTGAGGCTCATAAACTGCAGCTCAGCTAGGCACGTGGGGGCAAACCCAGTAGTGGTTTTAGATTTGGATCTGGGTTCACGTTTATATGAATTTCTAAAGCTCAGAGGGGGTTGGGAAAATGGTTCCAGCATTGCCCTGGTCGCTACACATCTGTCACTGGCATAATCCCAATTGCTGCTCATTCTCTTAGTAACAAGGATGCACTATTGCCCATTCGTTCCCCTTTTGCAAACCGATCTTGGTGATCAGAATTTATTTCCCCACGCCATGTCAGAACCGTGCTGGGGAGAGCAACCACGTGAGGTGCAGGGCAATGAAGAACTGGAGCTCTTCAGTTTTGCTGGCAAGGAAGCAGGAGAAGCCCAGCATCCATGTTCGCAATGGCGATCAGAGTCGGAACCTGTGTACACTGAAGGCCTTGAAAAGACTCCCATTGCCTTCAATGAGGAGCAATGTAAGGGCCCGTCTAAGTTAGGGCAATTTGCACCCCCAAAACACTGCGGCAGCGCAAAATGATGCTGGTACTAGAAAAAGCTGCAGTGGGGTAAGCACCACTGGGCACTATGGCCACGTGTCTAAAGATAGAGAAATATGCCTTAGTGCAAGCCCCTAATCTAGACAGACATTAGCAAAAGGTCTTACAAAGATCTCTCTTCACCCTATACACAAGGGCAAAGTTAGACTAGACTTATTCATTAACCAAAAAATGTACACGCTGACTCAAAAAAACTAAAAAAAGAGACAACAAATTCACAAATAGTTGGTTCTGTGCTACATGATCCCGAAACAGGTGTGGAGTAACTTCCCGAAACCACGCTGATCGGAACCTCGAGTTGCAACTCTTCATACGGTCATTGTGCTGGCTTGAGTTTCTTTATAACAATGTCTTCCAAGAGAAACTCGTTCTTGGAAACTATTTCCCTGGGCGATATTTGGCATGTTGTGTAGATCAGAGAGATTCACATCATTTTTTTTTTTCATTCCACAATAGAACTAGTGCAAATGAGAAGCGGGGGAGGGGGGAAAAAGAAGGGTTACACGGCCAGATATAAGTGGAAAAGAAGAAAACCACATGAATAGACAGTTCTCCCATAAAAAGCCCAATGGACACTCAACTGCAGCTTCTTTTATTTTCAGCAGAGGCCATGCAATCGAAGGCGAATATTTATTTCCAAAGTAATTGAAACCAACCTAAAAAGTCTCCCCTCCCTTTTTAATTATTACAATAGAAATGTGCTTTTATTTAATCAAGTCATTTTGTTGCATGTTACTGTTTTGCGCCTCTAATTATGTGTGGGGGTGGGCAAGGTTGCCTCTTAACACTGCGTGTGTGAACTGAGCCCTGGTAAAAAATGCTAGAGGCCTCAGTTCAGCAAAGCACAGGTTTAACTTTGAAGGTTGAGGTAAGTGAGCCTCAAGCTAGGGTGACCAGATGTCCCGATTTTATAGGAACAGTCCTGATATTTGGGGCTGTGTCTTGTATAGGTGCCTATTACCTCCATCCTGATTTTTCACACTTGCTATCTGGTCACCCTACCTCACGCACATGCTTAAATGTTTCGCTGAATCACCGCCCATGTGACAACCCTGGAGACTGGTTAAACAGACACGGCATAAACAGGGGCAGTATAAGCTTCCCCAAGGCTGCCGTGGCTACATGCCTCAAAACCATGCCCTCCGGGCTGCCCTCTTCCAAGCAAGGGAACAGGGTTCTGGCTCTGGGGCCTGACAGCACTTAGCTTCCCTGCTGAGTCTCCCAGCAAGAGAGGGTCGTTAGCACCCACTCTGGCGTTGGGTTTCCTGCCATCAGCACCAGTTCGCTAGCCATCAGCGTACAACAGCTTCCATCCTGACTTAGATCTGAGCTAACTAGAGCTGCTTAAAGAATGGGGCGGGGGGAATTGCAAGAAGTAAGTAAAAAAAAAAACCCAGACGTTTCTGTGAAAGTTTTCAGCAAAAATTAGAAAAAAAATTTCACCAGCTTTAAAAACCAAAAAACAAAACAGCAGTGCAGGGATGAAAGGCTCCTTATCCCAGTGTTCTGGGACATCCACTCCCCTTCTCTCTCTCTCTCTCTGGTTTTGTTACACGCTTTACGTAGATTGAGCGCTTTCTGCTACAGAAGCTCTAAAATATTAAAACACTATTTGCCCACAGATTGAAACCTATTCTATATAAAGACACACAGTGTAAAGCCACCAGCAGGCAGCTCGTCACAGCAACGCAGAGCCCGCGCGATGGAGATGCTCCTGTCGCCCATCTGGAAACTCGGCTTGGCTCCTATTCCTTGTGTGACCCTCTTGAGGGCATTACAGGAGCCAAGAGAGACAGGAGTGAACCACATCGTACAGATCACACCACAGCCATGAACCCCAAGAGCAAAGAAAGTAAAGAGACAGACACCATTGTATCCGAGTCCCATTTAAAAGGAAACCAAACCTGTTCTCCTTAGCAGTATCAGAAGCAATGTCATCCTCTGCAATTGACCTGCTGGAAGCTATTTCCCCAGGGCATCTAGGGACAGCTGAACACCTTAGGGCTCAACTTTCAACTGAGAAATGCTAGCAATATACTGCACATCTTAAAGGAAATAAAGGCCCCATAGAGCTCTGGTCCTAAGCCAATCAAGGAAAACAGAGACTTAGTTAATTTAGAGCATGCTTGGAAGTCCGCTAACCCCACTGCCAGTTTCTCTGTTCACTGAAAACCAGCATTAGATTAATCTTTGAGGTCATCATTTACAAGCAGGCCTTCCTGTTATGGGCTCTGCCAATGCAGATATGAAGGACTGAAGATCAAATTTGGGTTGGATTCAGAGAATAAGTGTCCCATGTCATCCCAGCTAGGCTTTGAACCAAGGGCCTGCTAGTCTGTAGGAAGCAGTTCTAGCTGTTGAGCCAAATGGAAGGATGCCACTTACAACTAACCTGGGAGCCTTACAAGCTCCATTGTGCTTTACACCCATCATACAAAAAAAACCACAACAAAACACACACACAGTGGAGACGGTAAACACTACTTAGAGACAGTCAGCTGAATTTAAGACACCAGGAGTTGAAGGGCTACTTCCACGTTGTCCCTGTCAAACTAGCTGGAGTGTGAAGCTAATGGTGATATTGTTGTTGCTTGCAGAGATTAAAAATCCACTGACAACTAGCCACTCTCCAATCAACAGCCCCAACCCAACTCATGTTCTGCAACTGAGGAATCGCTCGGTATAACTCTAGGCAAAGACAGTAAGCTGGTGGGAGTCGGTTTCCCTTGCTTGAGGAAGGGTTTATGGATCAAGAGTCTTTAATCACAGGTGTGGACAAATCAAGGTTCTGAGGCAAATTTTCCAGAAGCTCCTAAGTCTCTGAGGCACTTTTGGAAAAAAAAAATTGTCCCCCCCCCCCCCATCTCAAAACATTCCTCTGGCAGATGCATCAGAATCTACATAATATTTGATGTCAAGCTACATGGAACTGTCACATCTTGGCTCCCTTTATTCCTTGTGACAACCACGTGAGTATCACACAACTGGAGTATCTCATGGACACTCCCAGTCCCTGTTGACTTTGACAGCCTGTCCTTGCAAGGTGCTTAGCTCAGCAACGCACCCGTCAATTTGCCTCTTGATACCATTTTTTAGGCTGGTCACAGAGTCATCGAGTTTAAGGCCAGATGGGACCACCACATCCTCTATATTCTGTATATCACAGGCCACCAACACCACCCATACACCATACCTACCAACCAACGGCTACTGAAGCAGGGCTCCACTGACTTCAGAGTTACTCCTGATTTACACCAGAGAGGGGAGAATCAGGCCTATCACATGTTGAGAGAACTTTGCACCTTGCAGGATCAGGCCCACAAGCCTCACTCTAGAAACCAGTCACTTAACACTCCTCTGCCCCCACCCCCAGAAGCCGCCCTGGTCTAACTCCACACCACGACCCACAGACTCCAAGCTCTCAAGGACAGAGCTGCCCAAACCACCAACAGGTGATGGTTATAATTGTAACAACTTCCGGAACATCTGCCCCCACCCATCAGTCCTCCCAAGAGATCTCGTGCCAGCATTTATGTTGGAGGATACAGCTGTCAAGGCTCCCAACCTAGGCAGGTGCATCTCTTCCTTTCCAGCTGCTGTCTGTCTCCCACAAGCCCTCTGGGGGCTCCACTTCCTGCTCACGCTAGTCTTCTGTCTCCTCCTCACTTTGGGAAGATATACACTGATTTCCAGCTCAGGCAGATATACACACGCTAGCTCTGATCAAGCTAGTGCGCTAAATAGAATGGTGCAGCTACAGTGGTACAAGCGGTGGCACGAGCTAGCAGAACTGAGTCCTTACCTAGGGTCTTGGATGGGATTGTACTCAGGTGGCTAGCATGGCCTGCTACCTCTGCTGCTACTTTTGGCATGCTAGCTCAATCAAATGTAGCACATGTACATCTCCCCGAGCTGGGAATGACACCTCTAGCTGCAGTGCAGACATACGTTTGGTGACCCCACACATGAAAGCGAGGCGCCAAGCATCAGTCAGGGAAGCAATAGGGGCAGAACAAGGCAGGAGGGGTCGAGCACCAGGGGATAACAAGATGGATCTCCCACCCGTACCATGCAGGGGGGAAAAAAAGTATATCTTTTGTGGCTGCACTCTGAGAACCCTCTGAACAGGAAAAATAAAGAACAAAGAGGACTGTCCTGTACGGGAAAAAAGCTACACATAACATATATCTTGCCATCAAAACACACTTCATAACGCACGACATTCTGGCACGAGCGGAGGTTGGCAGGAGTTATTGCAGCAAAGTGGCTACCAGTACTGGGATTGGTCTGGAGCATTTACACGGACTAGTATTTTCTAAGTGTGCGGGCACGGCAGAAGCTGGTTTACTAGCTTTAGTGAGCATGAGTTTTGTTCTCTTCTTTGCGTACAGACATGAGAACATATGCACAGTAACATCAGCACTCAAGCATGGATAAGCTTCTCAGAATGGCAGTAGGCGAGAAGCAAAGGAGCATGATCCACTCCTCTCAATGCAACTGCTTCTTCAGTACAGACACTGCAGGTCAAGGCGCACAGGCATGCCACACCAGCCTTGGTGGGCATATCCCATGCCAGCAAGGTTAACTCTCCTCTTTGTGAGTGCTGGGCTTGCCTTCTGTAAATCATTTCCTTTAAGAGGGGGAAAAAGAAAATTACTGGAAGATTTTCCTTCTGCAGAAGGAGTCCATTGACTCTCACACATCCATGTCTGCTGAGCAGGTACAGGACACACATTCAATCTCCGCAGGGTTTTGCATTCAGGTTTGGTTCCCAGGATGGAGTGCATCTTCTTTTCATTCTGTTCTTCATGTAAACAGGGATTCTTAGAGAGACCAATCGCCGATACAAGGCTGCAGCACAGCGCTGAGGAGAACTTTAGATCATTGCCGGGCTCTCGGAAATCTCTTCTAGTCTTCGTTCTATCATTAACCGGAGGACTGTGTATCTAAAGGAAGGAAGGAAGGAAGAAAGGAAGAGCCTTGTTAGAGCCGAGCCCCAAAAATCTAGGTACCTTGACAAATTGTCAACAATACTATAACTCCTCACTCATATGAACTTCACAATAGGCCCTGAAGGTCTTTGAACTTAGACTCTGACCGGGCAAGGGAGTGGAGGAGCCCATTTCCATGAGTCAAGGGCCTTCTACCTCTAACCCAGTCACAGTCTTTGTATAGTTGTGAGCAGGATGTTAAAAAAAGAACTAGATAAATTCATGGAGGATAGGTCCATCAATGGCTATTAGCTTGGATGGATAGGGATGGTGTCCCTAGACTCTGTTTGCCAGAAGCTGGGAATGGGCGACAGGAGATGAATCACTTGATGATTACCTGTTCTGTTCATTCCCTCTGGGGCACCTGGCATTGGCCACTGTCGGAAGACAGGACACTGGGCTAGATGGACCAATGGTCTCACCCAGTATGGCCGTTCTCATGTTCTTGTAAATCTATGGGCCAACAGCCCAAGATATTCTCAATTGTCTGCTAAGCGTGAGAAGAGGCACAGGCCTCTGAGGTAGCCAGAGCCACAAACCAAAGCCATATGAAGCCATGTGTCAGCCCAAACTTCATAGAATCATAGAATATCAGGGTTGGAAGGGACCTCAGGAGGTCATCTAGTCCAACCCCCTGCTCAAAGCAGGACCAATCCCCAGACAGATCTTTGCCCCAAATCCCCAAATGGCCCCCTCAAGAATTGAACTCACAACTATGGGCTCAGAAGACCAATGCTCAAACCAAGAGTTTGGGAACCTCAGACAAGCCTGCTTTGAGCTTCACAACAAACCTTGACCCAAGCTCTATGTCTAACCAGACAGACCTCTCCCAAGGTCCCATCTGTTTAACCACTGGAAACAAGGAAGGTTGAGCTTGCCAGGGACTTTTTAAACACATGACTTAGCCAGCACATTTAGCCACATCATGAAAATAGAAGAAAGAACGCTTCCTCCTACACCCACCCTGCATTCTTTATGGGGACATGTACAAATGATGCCTCTAGTTGAAATACTGCCAGAAATGGAGCATTTTCATCTCTGTTAATTTCTCTGCAGGAATAGCAGCGAACCATTCCCACTGCAAGTCATCACGGGCCAGGTTCTCAGCCAGGGAACAATCGTACCTTCACGCCTCACAGTTCACAAATTCATGCTGCCAGGGGTTTGACACTGGTTGGGTCCCCACAAGAGAACTAGCAGCACTGCTGGGACGTCAAAGGACACAAAGAATAACCTAGAATTCACCTTCCTAGACACACTTCGGGCTGGTCTACACTACTGTTTAAGTCAATGCAGCTGCGCCGATGTAGCGCCATACTGTAGATTTGCCCCAAGGCAGCAGCTAAAAAGGTAGCGTGTTCGAAGCCTGAAACCAACTGAACTGGCATGTTCGCATCCACTGAGGATAGACAGACAGACTATCACATTGTCAGCTCTCTGAAGCACCCGGCACACTTGGAAGCGCTGTGAAATAATTCATTATAAAGACAGAGGAAATGCTACATTGGAACAGACCATCTACTCTGGTATCCTGTCTCTGCATTCCAGCCCAGCAGTGGCTGCATCTGAAGTGGGGTAAAGCAATCCCCGCTAATAGCTGAGGAGCACTGGGATAAGAAAAAGGTGCAGAATATTGTCAAAACCATTTATCAGCATCATCATTATTAAAATGGGTCCCATTGCCAGAAAGCCCCTGTTGCCACAATTCAAGAATGGGCTATATGCAATATCAGTGTCTTCTGCTTCCCCACAGAATTGCACAGAGAAGGTTGAATATTGGGGGGGGGGGAAAAGGGGGACCAAGCTTTTCGAAAGCAGGTGCCTAACTTTAGGCAGCTACGCCCAGATAGGCACCTGGATGTGTGGCTCGCCTTTTCCCTCCCCAAGTACTCGCCGACCAGTAACTCCCTTTAAATTGAAAGGGAGAAGAAAGCAGTTCAGAACCTCTGCACATTGGGCCACTTATTTAGGTGCACAAGTATGGATTTAGGTATACGGATCCAGAGGACTAAACCCCGGGTCTGGGCTACTGATGCTTCTGTTCTACCATCCAGCAGCCACAGCACAGCCATAATCAACACACTGCAAATCCTGGGAGAGTAAACACCACAGGAAGTCCACCCACAGAAGACCCGACTGGCAGCACCCCTCATGACCTCTGATTGGTCCAGGCATGCTATTTAAGCACAGCTGAAGTTTCAGGAAGTTGTCTGTCCAACTTGACACTGCCTGGCCTGTTGCTTCACAGACCGTGCTCTTGTTCCCTGCTTCGCACCCAGGCTCCGTTCCTTGGCTCGTCTCCCGACTATGGTTACAATTTCCAATTAGAATCCTGATTCCGACCTTCCGCTTGACTTCTGGTGTCTGACTCTGACCCGTGCTCCAACAACCAAGCCTGACAACCCACAGGCTCCTAATGTGACGATATCTTTAAGCACCTGCTTGTGACAAATCTTGGCCTCAGGCATTCGTGGAAGAAGCCCACGGGACTATTTTAAGTTGAGAAGGAAGCACCTACTTGTGCATAAGTTTCTTCACTTCACGGTCTTCTTCTTCTTGGAGCTTCTGGATGAAGCTTTTAAGAACTGGCATTTCAAATTTGATGTACTGAGCAACCTGCGTTGAAAGGAAAAATAAGAGAACACAATGGACGGAGCACTACCAAACAAATTCCTGTCATCGGCAGATCTGAAAGTGCTTTAAGGGCATTTAAACCTCCTACCATACTGCCCCCCACCACCACCGGGGGCAGCATTCCCCCAGTACAAGGTTGATAAACTGAGGCATGGATGGTGAAGTCCCCCCCGCCCCCGATGCAGAGAGAGCCAGCACAAGTCTATCACTTAAGCCCTCAAAAAGCAGGGCTTAAGTGGCATATAGCCGTTGTGCTGGCCCTATGCACAGGGAGTGACCGGCTTTACAATAGATCACACTTCCAGTGACGTCAGTAGCAGGAGCGTTGGCTCAACTCTGAGTACCTCCAAAAGCCCCACCCGAAGAGAGCAAATCACAGGCCCCCAGTGTAACTGCTTAGGCAAAACACCTCTTGCCCTCTATTACATCCGGGCACCACAGGCCAGTGAGTCTATAGCTTCTTCTTATAAACCGCTGCTCACGGGTTTAACTGTTCTCCTTTCACGGGATGCTGCCTTGTGATGCGAGTTTCCTTCCATTCTATACAATGTAACTCAATGCAGTAGCTGTTTGCGCATTTGCAAAAAAGGCAGCAACACCAATGTTGGGGAAACGTTGACATTTGGGAACACCTCACTGAAGGATCTTTGCAATTGGCCACAAAATATTTCAAGACTAGAATGATCCTATAGTACGATGCAAGAGGAAATCTAGACAAACAATGGCAGTTTCCTTAAACAAGATGATTCAATACGTTTACTCAACCATTACTGAAGCTGAAGGCAAAAACAGAAATTCCTGGTTTTTCTGAACCATAGGGGCCAGTATTCTGGTTTGTTACACCAGTGTAACTTCACTGAAGTCAGACAAGTTACTCCAGGTTTACACTGGTGTAACAGAGCAGAACAGATCCCAGTAACTCTAAATGAAAATATCTTTTATATCCATACCACTTACTTTCTGCTAATACAAATCACTATAAATCAGTTAGCGAAGAGACCTCCAATAATCATTTTGTCTGTACAAGCTGGTCTCAATTCTGGAGTGAACTCTAACCTCTCTCCAGTACATGTGCACAGATCCTAGGGTATGTGTGTCTACTGAGGGAATGAAACCTGCTAAGTTCCATCAATTGATATAGAACACTGTACCCTGAACTCTGCTGACTTTCTGTCTTGTTTGCTGAAATTAAATGTGAGGACAAACAGGGAATCCAGTTGCAATAGGATTACACTCTATTATCCACCAGATGGCAGAAAATAGCTATTGGCTATGAGCATTAATTTCTCTCCTTTGAAACAATGGATTATGGCAAGGGACATGTTAGAAATGAGAGGTTGTAATGATTGTTGATCAAAAGTAGAAGAGCTAAAATCTGATCACATGATCTGGCTCTTGATGCTATAAAACTAGGGTAAGTGACAGAAGTCAGTGGCATAGCCAGGCAGATCCAGGTGATTTATTAATCCAAAGAGTGCCTGTTTTTACCATCCCGAAATGTTCCCATCCTGAACAGGGATAAGAACTTCAAGTCTCAAAAATGATTATGAACGAAAAATTAAAAACCAAACCCAATAAAAAAAGACATCCAAAAACTCTGCGATCAGGTCAAAAAGTTACATTTCAAAATGTTTAGTTTTCAACTTATATATTTTTATAATATTTTTATTACTATTTAAGTCAATTTTTTAAACAAAAAGTCTTCTGAATTAAAAACAGCTTTTTCATTTCAAAAAATGTCAAAATGGGAAATTTCAGCAATTTCAAAACTGTTCAAAAATTTTTCCAAGTGGGAAATTTATCAAAAAAATCGACCCTTTCCCACGAACAGTTTTGAATTCTGATGAATCTGCGTTTTGGGACAAAAAACGCTTCCTCAAAACATTCCCAACCAGCCCTACAACCCAATCACTAAGGAGTTGGATACTGTAGAGATGGGGTATTGATAAGGGAACTCAACTTGGTAAACCTTCTGCATGGACTCGGCCATCATCCACTACAGCGATGAATATAGATTAATCAGGTTTGGCTATTATTTGGGAATTGTAACTTCACCCCTTATCAAAAAAGGCCGAGAGAGAGATGAAGGCTGAATCTTCAAAATGTATCTTAAAAGGGACTTAAGGTAAAATTTTCAGAACCACCTAATTGGATTTAGTCTCCCAAGACCCACTATGACCTATGGGCCTCTTGATGCCAACTGGCTGCGGACACTCAGGGTACATCATTTTACAGGGATCCCTATGGACATGTAGTAGAGCTCACCAAAAGGTGTCATGTGATGTCTCTACCAAGAGCCAGTAGCCCACTGCTCATTATAATCCTTACAAAATGTACGCAAGAAAGATATTTAAGAAGTTATGCATCTATGCTAAAAATTATGCTCGTAAGGTCACGAGGAGATAAGCATCTACTTCCTGCCTAAAAGGAACATGCGATCTCTTTGTCTGGTCCTAGGTGTACTTAGGGTTACCACCTTTGAAATGCAAAAAAATGGCACCCCACACACAAAGGCAAGCCCACTGCCTCCCCAGCCACAAGGCAACTCCACACACACCCCCGGTTCCCCAACAGCCACTTATAGTATCTAGAGAGACATCATATATAGATAAGACTGAGAATATCTCATGTCTCCTCACTCCTGTGGGACTCAAACCCTCTCTCGTGCACATGCACGGTGCGCTTGCATGTTGGTGGGCAGACAGCTGCTGTATTATCAACAGTTTTGATCTGTTATCGCGGAATGGGGGACACTGCAGCATCTTTAGCTGGACACAGACACTTAATAATGCAAATTTTTATATCTATGTAAAAATAAAATAAAAAAATAAAAAAGCCCTGGCAGATTAAATTATTTTCCTAGCAACTGGCAAATCCATAAAAAAAAAAAAAAACAAAAAAAAAAAAAAACCCAGCCATGCCGGTCAAATACCGGCCAGATGGTAACACTACTTGTACGGCATATTGTCCACTTCACAATGAAAGATCACAGCCACCCCTGGCTGCATAGCACTGGCAAGCAATGCTTTAGACATGAAAGTATCTTGTTAATTAAGTCCAGGCTCTAGAATGCATGTTACGATTTTATTTATAGGTAACCATTTGATTCCAACACTTCCACTTGAATTCGTATGCTTTGTTACTCTGACTTTTGTACCGGTTTTCACTACCAACATGTCTAAGTGCTGTGAGTAACACAGAGTGGTGCTCGGAGGTGAAACTGGTAAGATGGGGGTTACTACTTCTTTGGAACTCTGGGAATACTGCGAATGTTCAGCAGACCAGGGGCTGGATGCTCCAGGGAGATGCTTTCAGGGCTGGGTGGTTGGAGTGTGCCCATCGCTACCCCATAGAGAGAGAGCGCAAGCAAGGCCTGCGGAGGCTTAGAGAGGACTGCTTGTGTTGCAGAGGCTGGTGGAGTTGGGGAGCAGGCCCAGACAAGGCTCCCTCAAGCTAAGGGCAGGTGATAGTGAGGTGTCTCTCAGCCCTGAGCAACCCAGGAAATGTCACACCCACTGAAAAAGTCCCCAAATTAAAGTTTTACCCTACAACACCCAACTACCATCATATTTGGGTCCCTTAAGCTCATCCCACAATTGAAACAGACAATAAGGTTGAACAGCAGTTACCCTTGAAGAAACCCTAGATATTCCCATAAAGAAAGATTCTCTGTTGCATTTTTAAAGCAAACTTGCAAACTATCCCCCGGCTATAAGCTATTAGCATACTTTAGTTTTAAAATTCTATAGGTCTTCTCTGTAGACTTATTAGCAATGCGTTCAATGTTTGTTGAGCCAAGCAGGAAGTGATCTTTTCTCCTAATAATGCAAGAGCATTATTTCCCTGTCCTACCTCATCAGTGCCAAAATTCAAAACAAGGCCAGAACACTTGAGATCTCACAGCGCTTTTCGCAAGAGCACTTTATGTAGCATCTTGGCCAGATTCCAGTTGGTAATAACTTTCTGCTTTCCTAATCCCCCTCCCCACCACTCTCAGTTATAGATTATGGGGTCCTCTATTTCCTCCTAAGAGTAACACCATGTTCCAATCCAGAGGCAGCAGCATGAAAATTGCAGGCACGCATGCTAGAGGGAAGAGAGATGGCGAACTTCAAGCACAGCTGAACACTGGCTCTGCATTTTCCGCTGAACAAGTTATGCACTTTTAGCATTTGCACTCATGCTACAAGTATGGCTTAATTGCAATGCTAGCCAGTTTCACCTGGTTAAGTGCCCGCAGTGGGAGGATTGCCACTCTACTCCTAACACAGCACATGCCTACAATGACAATATATATGAATATTCCCACACCCACTTATTTAAATAGCATATCCCCGAAGCAGGACTGTACTTGGGAACATAAGCCTTCTCACTCAAACTAGCTGTTTTACATCTTCTCCCTGCAAGACCGCCTGTCCCTCCCTCTTCTTTCAGAGATACCTCCTGTTTTTTATATTCCTGAGCTGGCTATTATGAGATGCATTTAACCTGCCTCCAGGGTGAGTCAGCAAAATAGTTCTGTATCGTCACACAGACTCTTAAAGCTTAACAGCCTTTGGTGCTCCACTCAAAGACACTCACATCATAGGTGACTTCTTCAACTTGGTCCTTCTCCATCAGGAAGACCTTGGAGACCTGTTCACACGGCCCTTGCAGAATGCGGGCAATCAGTGGATAATCTGTAGCCTTCAATTTCTGTTTTTCTGCAACGGGCCCCCCCAATATATAGGACAGTAATTAGAAAACAGACCATACAGTCAAAGCAGAAGATACTATTTTTAATCTTGGCAGTATCCCTTAAAGTAGTGGCTCACAACCTTTCCAGACGACTGTACCCCTTTCAGGAGTCTGATTTGTCTTGCGTATCCCCAAGTTTCACCTCACTTAAAAACAATTTGCTTACAAAAATCAGACATAAATACACAACAAAGGGTCAGAGCGCACTATTACTGAAAAATGGCTGACTTTCTCATTTTCACCATACAATTATAAAATAAATCAATTGGAATATAAATATTGTACTTACATTGCAGTGTATAGTCTATAGAGCAGTACAAACAAGTCATTGTCTGTATGAAGTTTTAGTTTGTACTGACTTTGCTAGTGCTTTTTACATAGCTTGTTCTAAAACTAGGCAAATATCTAGATGAGGTAATGTACCCCCCCCGGAAGACCTCCGTGTACCTGCAGGGGCATGTGTACCCCTGGTTAAGAACCACTGCCTTAAAGATACGTAGCAGAGGTCGCCAATTAAGCTAAGTTACTCTAAACCATTACAGCTTGAGGATTTCTTCCAGACTTACCTCCGCTGGTGTGGACAATATACAATGCAAATTCGTCAGCCGAGTTTTCAATCTGAACCCAGGAAAAAAGAAAGATGTCAAAGTATCAAAAGGCAGCTAGATTACTTTTTGAAAAAAGAAACACTTTGCACTTTCATAACACCTTGCATCCAAGGACTTGCAAGTCCTTGGATAAGAGACAATTCTCCACAATGCGCTTTTGGCTTCAGGCAAGAATTCTAGCCATTTAGCAGATGGGTTAAAAAAATAGGGTAGAGCTGGGAACAGAGCCTAGTATTCCTTTAGCTCAGGGGTGGGCAAAATACTGCCCGCGGACTGGATCCAGCCCGTTTAACATTTCTGTCCAGCCCGCCAGGCTCTTTGGCTGCCCCCTCACAATCTCCGGGGTGCTAAATGTCCCACGGCGCAGCGGGGTGCTCAGGCAGGATGCCTGCCTGCTGTGGCCCCACGCCGCTCCCAAAAGCCGCCAGCTACTGCTGGCATGTCTCTGCGCACCCTGGCGGGAGGCGGCTCTCCACACTGCCCCCGCCTCAAAGGCCATCCTCACAGCTCCCATTGGCTGTGGGGGTGGTGCTTGCAGGCGCAGGCAACACACAGAGACCTGCTGCCTCCTTCCCCGCAAGGGGTGCGCAGAGATGTGCCAGCAGCAGCCGGCTGCAGCTCCCGCCATGGCAGGCAAGCAACCTGCCTGAGCCCTGCTGCGCTGCCAGTGGGGAGCCACCTGTGGTAAGCGCCTCCCAGCTAGAGCCTACACCTCACACCCCCTCCCGCACCTCAACCCCCGGTCAGAACCCCCTCCTGCACCCAAACTCCATCCCAGATCCTTCACCCTCTCCTACACCCCAATCCCCTGCCCCAGCCTGGAGCGCCCTCCTGCACCAAACTCCCTCCCAGAACCCACACCCCCTCCATTAATATAGTAAAAACGTGCGGCCCTTGACAACTTACCAGAAACCGTGGAGTGGTCGCCCTGCGAAAAATTATTGCCCACCCCTGCTTTAGCTTTATTATGGTAACACCTAGTGAATAGGGCCCCATTGTGCTAGGCTCTGTACATACATATAAGTAGCGTCTCTGCCCCAGAAAGCTTACAGTCTAAGTAGACAAAGGGTTCCAGGGGAAACAGAGACACAGACAATGGGTCAGAAAGGTCAGTAGCTGACCCAAAAATAGAGTTCTGGTTTCCTGACTCCCCACTCCAGTGCTCTGTTCACTAGGCTGCCCTGCTCCGGACAAAACCCCTCCCAAAAGTGGGAAGCAGAATCCACCTCCCTGCTTTAGGCACAAGAAACACCGCTTGGTCCAAGCAATGGTTCACTTCTGACTTTGCTTGGTCTGAACCAAGCAGTTGCCCAGGATTCTCTGATACAAAGACCCTGTTGAACTAAAAAAGCATCTTAAATTATACGGGTTTAATGAGAAGGTTTAATAGAGAGAGTAAATTGGGATAAAACTTGCCTTAAATTTATTGAGCAGCAGTTTGAGAGCTTGAGAAGTGGTCATTGTGCTGTTTATCCTGACATTAGTGACTGAGCCATAGGCTGGTGTGAACACAGATGTCTAGGAATGGAAAAGACAACGGATTTGGATTACAATAAGCACAATATGCATCGGTAATTTTCCTCACAAACACTTCCCCTCCCCCACCCGGGCAAAGTTCACTCCAATGCTCTCCTCAGCCCAAGGTCTAGGCACCTTTCAAGTCCCATTTAAACCCTATTTTGAAGAATTCAGGGGATCCCAGGCTTACTGCACATGGATGGGTTTTGGGGACCCAGCCAAGGTCACCAAAAGTAGGAACACACTACAGAGCTACTCTTCAGCCACATAATCAGTGCTGACATTTGAATAGTGATACTTTCTTTTTAATCTGCTATTCAAGTTATTTTCTGGCACTTCAAAAGTGTAACTAAATGCTCTGTCTGGACTCCGGGTCCTTACTTTGTGATTGTAGAAATGCCCGTTGATGGAAAACCGATGGCGTTTGATCCGCCGCTGTTCACTTGGAGTACGGAAATTCCCCCTGCGACGGACTCCCACGTCACTCCGAGTTCGCATCAGCTGTGGAGTTTCCTCTTGCTGGGGTTTTAAGTCTCCGACATCTGAGATTAAGAGTAGGAATGGCTTTAAAACAAGAGACTCACATGTGTAAAAGGAGATACCACTGGAGAAACATGTGTCATTACTACTTACATGGTCAGCTCTTTGGGGGAGGGACCATCTCCTTGTTCTGTGTTTGTCCAGCACCCAGCACAATGGGGTCCTGGTCTGTGACTGGGGCTACTAGGCACTGCCACAAAACAAAGACCTCAAGAGGTCATCTAGTCCATCTTGACCCTACACTGTGGCAGGACCAAATAAATCTAGATCTTCCCGGACAAGCAGACTTGTTCCCATCACTGGAAGCTGTTAAGAATTCCACAGCCTCCTTTGCTAGCCTGTTTCAGTACTCAACTACTCTTATAGCTAGAGAGTTTTTCCAAATATCTAACCTTAGTCTCCCTTGCTGCAGATTAAGCCCATTAGTTCTTGTCCCACCATCAGTGGACATGGAGAACAATTGATCACCTTCCTCCTCCTAATAGTCCTTAACATATTTGAAGACTTAGCAGGTCCCCCCTCAGTCTTCTTCTCTCAAAACTAAATGTGCCCAGTTTTTTTAACCTTTCCTCACAGGTCAGGTTTTCTAAACCTTTGATCATTTTTGTTGCTCTCGTCTGGACTCCCTCTAGTCTGTCCACATCTTTCCTGAACTGTGGCACCCAAAGCCAGACACAGTACTCCAGCTGAGGCCTCACCAATGCCAAGCAGAGTGAGATAATTACATCCCCTGTCTTAGATATGACACTCCCACTAATATACTCCAGAATGATACTAGCCTTTTTTGCAACTGCATCACGTCGTTGGCTCATCTTCAATTTGTGAACCACTATAATAACACTGTCTCTATCATTATTCGATATTAACACTAATTGTACAAAATGACAGTTCCAGAAAACAACTGCTTATAAGAAGGTTTAAAGTGGGGGGGGGAACCTCCGGCCCACAGGCTGGATCTGGCCCCCTGCTTCATTTCATCCGGCCCGTGACAAGTGTCCACGCCATGGCCCAGAAGCTCCAAGCCCCGTTACCACTCCTGCCACAGGGCTGGAGCCGCAAGCACCAGCTCGCCCCACTGCGGGAGGAGGGTTGCCAGGTCGTTAAAAGTCCGCTCCATGCAGCAACCGGAAGCGACCAGCATGTCCCTGCGGCCCCTAGGAGCAGGGGTGATCAGGGAAGCTCCACGTGCTGCCCCTGCCCCCAGCGCCGGCACCGCAGCTCCCACTGGCCGGGACCCGTGGCCAATGGGAGCTGCGGGGGCGGGGCCTGCAGATGCAGGCAGCGCGCACTGCGCAGAGTCCCCTGGCCCTTCAACCTAGGGGCTGGACATGGTGGCCACTTCTGGGAGCAGTGTGGAGCCAGGGCAGGCAGGGACCCTGCCTTAGCCCCGCTGCGCCACCATCGGGGAGCCGCCTGAGGTAAGCGCTGACTGGCCAGAGCCTGCACCTTGAGCCCCCTGCCCCAGGTCGGAACCCCCTCCCGCACCTTAACTCCCTCACAGACCCCACATCTCCTCCCATACCCCAACCCCCTGCCCCAGCCCTGAGTCCGCTCCCGCACTCCAAACCCCCTGGCCCTGACCCAGAGCTCCCTCCTTCACCCCAAACCCCTCATCCCCAGCCCCACCCCAGACCCCACACCGGAGCTCTCACCCCCTCCCGCACCCCAATCCCCTGCCTGGAGCCTAGGGGAAGCCCCGAGCCTCCGCAGCCCCCACCTCCCTCATGGGGCTGTGTGTGGTCCACGACTGATTTTTTTCTGTGGGTCAGTGGCCCCTGATAGAAAAAAGATCCCCCACTCCTGGTTTAAAGTGATGCAAAGTTCTGCATTTTTTAGCCTGAAACCAATTAGAGCTAGTGCAATATAATCTTAGCTGCTGGTTTATATATTAACCCTAGGGTGACCAGATGTCCCGATTTTATAGGGACAGTCCTGACTTTTGGGTCTTTTTCTTATATAGGCTCCTATTACTCCACACCCGCTGTCCCGATTTTTCACACTTGCTGTCTGGTCACCCTAATTAATCCACATCATCTTTTTCATCTATCAATGGAGGCTATTAATTCACAATTGCAGTGTAAATCCATGCAACTACTTGGCTACAATCTCTTCTTTTATGAAGTTAAGCATCTTACTCTTCTTGTCATATTTTAACATTTTTTAAAAATGAGAACAGGAGATGCAAGGCAATACTTAACATCTCTGAATAAAAACTGGCCCATATCCAGATTATAATGAAATAGCAGTTCATCCATTTTTAATGAACCACTTGAGCTAGGACTTAAAAAAAAAAAAAAAAAATTTAATTCAAAGCACGTCCGTGCCAACAGAATCTCTTGCACGTTCCATTCCCCCCACAGACAGGCAACAGTGAGCCAACATTCACGAGGAGTCCTAGCTGTACATTATGTAGCAGTTTTATGGGCATATATGACAACCACAATAAAGGTTTTTGCAATGCCATGCTATTAATAGAAGACACCTCTCAAGGTACCTCAGACAAGTAATAATAACCAAACACTGAGATGGGCGATTGCTACGTTCCAAGTGCCTCGCACATACCAGGTAGTTGGTGCTCGACGCAGCTGCCAGGGAGGGACGTATCAGGCACTTTGACACTAGGGAAGCTAAGGGAGACAGGGTCAGAGCCCTTCTTTCAGAGATTCTGAGCACCTACCATCTGAAGTGCTAATGGGAGCTACATGTGCTCAGCGCCTCAGACAAGCGACTTGGCCACAGAGTGAGCGAGTAGCTGAGTCAGGATCATGTGGCTCCCAACGCCCAAATGCCAGACGCCATTTCTGTAACAGCAGAAAAGCGTCCAGGAGTCTTAAGGGGCAGGGTGGGAAAACAAAATGTAACCGAGAAAAGGCACATCCGTAAGAAGCCATGATATAAACCACATAGGGTTGCAACTGCACTTTCAGGCCCAACCCAGATTACAATTCCATCTCTCTACCCCACCAGCCAGTCCCCGAGCAAGAACATAATGGAACGAAGCTACATTAACAAGGGAGCCGTTGCAGAAAGGATGTAGACTTCCTGTTTTTACAGACCCACACGCAGCTTCCTCTGATATGGTCAGATTGCCCCGGTAAAGAAGGCATTAGAAGGAGTCCTAAGACAGGCACACTCGTTAAACGCACTGAGAGCTACTTACCCACGATGGAGAAGATTTCCCAACTATACATTAGCCTTTTAGAGAATTAACATTTAGATAGCACTTTCCCTCCCAATAGCTCCCAAAGCACATTGCCATGGCTATACAGGAACGGCTTCATCTACTGCTGAAAAGCAGCCATCTCCAGAGAGCAACACGGTGGGTCTTTAACAGTGTCTTGGGACACTGCATAGCAGTCAAGGAGGGGAAGCTGATCAGCCAGCCAGAACTGCAGGAAGATCCAGACAGGCAAACTGTGATTACAGATTGCCTTGTCCTCGGGACTTCTCTATCCACACCCTTGGAAGATGGGCCATGGGGGTCTTCAATGATCCGAAATGATCTGGTTTTCTGTTTCTCTGTCTCAAGAGGACAGCTTTGGCAGCACCACCTGTTAATGCCATTCTGGGGCACCCATTAAGCACCAAGACACAAAAAGGAGCATCGGGGGTAGTTTGGTCCCAGGAATAGGATATAGGATCTGGAGAAAGGGGACCTGGATTCTATTCCCAGCTCTACCACAGAGACCTTGGCCAGTCAGATCCTTCCCCTGTGCCTCTATTCATAGCAGGAACTAGTTCCCCATCCCAACTGGAATATAAATAACAACCTAGTGAAGAACAACCCCATTCCCTACAGCATTTGGGCAGTCTCCCATCCAAGCAGCAACCCAACCTAACCCTGCTTAGGGTGGAAGATCAGGCAGGATCAGAGCTCAAGGCAACAGGACGGCACAACACCAGCATGGTAAGGGTTACTATACTAAAGCATGCCTGGAGCAGAGACAAATCTCCCTCTGCTCTTTACACAGGAAAGGCCCTTCAGACTCAACTCTGTGTGCACACACAGCTGAAAGGGGGGGGGGGCAGGAACTTCTTAGAAATGTTTACTTCTCCATGGTAACGCTACTAAACAATGGCTCCTATTCTTCCTCTTGCAACCCGGGAGCAACCCAAGCATCAGGGGCGCAGGGGGACTGCCAAAGGAAAGGGAAGCATGGGGACAAGTGGAGACTGTTACTCAACAACCCTTGCTTTCCTCTGGGGTTTCACTCTGGGCTTTCGGAGTAGCTTCTATGACACCTGCATAGCTTCTGGGCAAACGGCAAAGGCTACGCTGGTCCCACACGAACATGCTCCCCGAGATTTCTGCGGTGGATATTTTGGGTTAGGCTTAAAGAACTCAACAGGTTAACATAGCAACAACTCCCTTCCCGGGGAATCTGAATGCGATAGGGCCAGAGAGGTTGGAGAGGAAGATACAGGAATAGGCAATGTTAAAAAAAACAAACCCTGACTCATTCAATGCATAGGATGGACAGTGCTCACTGAACAAGCAGCTATTGATTGTTTCTTCTTATCCTTGTTATTCAATGTGTGGACCTTGGTCTTAATTACTGTACACCGTTTAAACGTGCTGGGAAACTCTTGAGCGACCATAGCTAAAGGCATTGCTACTTATAATACAGATAGATAAACCATTTCATGCGAGACACATGCAAGAATAATTTCTGACAGAGTGATTCCACTGAATCAAAGAGATTGGAATAAAAGAAAGCAAAAGTTTTAGGCATGGGGCATCACCCCTTTGGTTTATACTGGAACAGCCTACTGAAATAAAACAGATCAGTTAGCAAACCCACCATCCTGGTCTCACCTGTTCCACTCTCTGAGTCATCAGCATCCGTGGGGGTGTCAACATCTGTAATCTGAATATCGGGTATGATACTTGGCTTCACTGCAGACCTAATGAAGAGACAGACATACTGTTACAATACAAGATCAAAGTCACCAGCCAATACACCGAGCTCACTTTCTCACACATAATGGAATGTCAGATGTGGGTGCCTCATCTAATGGACTTTTTTTTTTTTTAAAACACTAACACACACCCAAGTAAGAGTCGTATCTCAGAGTATGTAGCCAGGCCAGATAACCCCTACACAAATACAAGCAAGGTGGAAATTCACCCCTTGTGCAAAAGGGCCAGCCCACTTTTGCTGGTCCTCCACACAGGGGTGAATTTCATCCCTGGACACTTTCCGGTTTTATACCGGACTGAGGTACATACACCCGTGCACACTCACACACTGGAAGCCAAGAAGGCTGGGACTGAAATTTTGGATCAGAGGCAAGAGTGGGCCCCCTATTTGACAAGGCAAAAGCTTGCTAGGTTTCATTTCTACTGCCATTAGTCTGTAAAGTAATTCAAAGACAGTGTCCGCTGTTGGACGTAGCAGAGAATTTCTGCCACCCTAGTTTTCAATACACTATTTACTTCTCCACACTACAGCAGGGAGAGATTTTGGGCTTTTAGTCCCACAAAGTCTAATACCTGGGGAGAACGCTGAAGTGACCCTCAGATTTAGCTTGGCTAAGACACTGCAGGTGATGTACACCCCTCTGCAGTGACGTGCAATGCCACCGCATGACTTCAGTCCTCTTAGTAGCTGGCACTTGCACCAAGTCACATTCTGCTCTCAATAGCTATGCAGAGGTAGTGGGTCCAGGAGATCGCATTCAGGGCTAGAAGTCAGGAAACTGGGTTCTATTCCTGGCTCTAACCTGCTGGATGACATGGGAGAGCTCGCTTCTCTCTGTTCCGCCACTCATGTCTTGTGTATTAAAATTGTAAGCTCTTTGGGACAGGGACTGTTGTACTGTGAGACCATACAGTACCCAGCGTAGACTGGTTGGGTCTCTAGATGCTATGGCAAAAAACACAACAGTGTGTCCCAGTGCCATGGAATTCAGTGCCTACATGATGATTTTAAGTATTGTTTTTCAATGCACCCCACATCTTCACACACAGCTAAATGGAATGCATTGGTCCTGGTAAGACAGTCAATGAAAAGTCAATCTATTAGTTCAATCAAAAGTTTATCATTTGACAAGTCCAATTCATTAGCTGTAATATCAGCAAATCAGTAAGGACTTTATGCAGTTGGAAAGATCAGGTGGCTTTCTAAAGGAGATTGCCCACATTTCTGGAGATTTAAGGGAAGTGTAATGATGCCTTTTGATAACATAGCAAAGCAAAAAACAATGTGTTGCGCAGGATTAATGCCCTATAACTGTGTCCCCATCTCAGCTCTTAATATCAAACTACTCGGCCAATGGAAATGTTCTGGATGTCGATTTTCCAGCTATGATTTTCATCCAAACTGATTTTTATAGGGGAAAAAAATTGATGAAGTTTTCCCCCAAATTCCCTTCCCCTTTTATTCCCCCCCAGCCAACTTTACTTAAGTTGGATGTTTTGAACAGTAAGTTTTTGTTGGGCTTCACGGCTGAAGAGAGGATCTCGTAACAAATACTGGGTTATATCAAATGTTTCAAAATATAGGATGATTTTCCTTCAGAGATAGATCCCATGGAATATGTTTGTACGACACCCACGGTGGGTCCCCCCGCCCACACACACACCCTGGTCATAAAAAATAATGTGGTCATACCAGAATGATGTGAAGAAAGTACCGTGAAGTAAGACAGGCAGCAACACAATGATTCCAAGGGTCGCATGATGCAAGACAAGACATAAGGAGAGTTCACTCAACAATGAAATGATGGAAAAATCACAAGGACAGGAAGGGAGGCGAGGGAGACAGGACCGATGAGATTTACAGTTCAAGACAGTGAACTGGGACTTCTCCCAGCTCTGCCACAGCCTGACAGCATAACCTCTGTGTGCCTCAGTTTACCTAGACGTAAAGCAGTGATAATACTAGCTTACTTCACCGTAGGGGCTAGGAGACTAAATTCATTCGTTTGCAAGAGGCTCATTAGCACTCATTTCCTTTCTGGGATATTCTAAACCACGTAGGTGGAGGCAACGTTAATTTTCCCATCCCAGTCTTCACATTACTTTCTCCCGGTCACATTTATAGACACTTTCATAGAGTTTAAGGCCAGAAGCGACTATCAGATAATCTAGTCTCATCTTCTGTATATCACAGCCCCTAAAATTTCACCCAGTTACCCCTCTGTTGAGCCCCATAACGTGTGTTTGGCTAAAGCTCATCTTCCAGAACAGCACGGAGTCTTGAGTTAAAGACAAAGACAGGGAATCCACCACTTCTCTGGGTAGTTTGTTCTAATGATTAATCACCCTCACTGTTTAAAAATAAATAAATAAAACTTTAAAATGGTGCCTTATTCCCAATTTGAATGGGTCTGGTTTTAGCTTCCAACCATTCTTGTTCTGCCTTTCTCCACTAAATGAAAGAGCCCTTTAATATCGGCGATTTTCTCCCTACGAAGGTGGTTTCTACACTGTATCAAGTCACTGCTCAGTCTGGTAAGCTAAACAGACTGAGCTCTTAAAGTCTCTCACTGTGAGACATCTTCTCCAGCCCTCCAATCATTGTTGTGGCTCTTTTCTGCACCCTCTGTAAATGTTTCAATGTCCTTTGCAGAACGCTGACAGCAGAACAGGATGCAGTACTCCAGTCTTTCTCCTCAATGACATGTATTGTCCGTAGGACCCCTAACTCTCCCTCAGAGTCGCTGCTTTCCAGGATCTAGTCCACCATTCTGTAGGTCTGGCCTGCGTTCCTTGGTGTAGAATTTTGTATTTGGCTATGTTAAAGGAAGCGCTGTTATTAAAGGCCCCAATCCTGCAAGGAGCTTCATGTGGGTCTCTGTCATACCAGAGACAGCTCTTTGTCGCCTTGTCTTCACTGGACGTTTGTACCTTAGGTGAAGGATTAGCCTAGGGTAAAAGTCCAAATATTCGCTACAAACATACCCATGGAAAAACATCCAAACTAATCTTTACAAATATGTCAAGTGCCAATTAACATCGGATAACCAGTTAATGCAAGGTGCAAAAGACAAGGCCCCATCTTCACTAGAGGAAAAAAAGGTTAAACCTTAACACGTGATTTAAACAAAACAAAACGTGGACAAGGCAGTTGTAGTTTTAACTTGCGTTAGCCCTTCAAGGTAAACACGAGCGACTGTTGCCCAGGGAGTCTCACTTCCCCCTCACCACACCCCCTTTTTGACTTTTTTGTTTACTCTGGAAGGTGTAGTTTTTGGGTTAGCCAGAGAGCTAAACTATCCAATCTGCAGGGAAACTGAGCCAACAGCCAGATCTGATGGTGGGAACATAAGGCACACCCTAGCTGGGCCAGAGAGAAGGAAGCTGTATTAAAGTTACATACTCTTTGTAGGGAAGTTGCAAGAGCCAAGCGCGGAAAATAATTCTATTGGCAAATCAAGAAGTTAGAATACCTCCTACGGGATATGTTAAAATACCAAGTCAGTGAAATACACTGACTCTAAATAAAACCAGGGGAAAGTTCACTCTACAGCAAACCTAAGCAAGCTTAGCTTCTGTTGTAGATTGGGTTGCTTTTCACTGCCTTCCAGATAACGCGCACACAAAAAGCAGCACTGCAAGATGGGAATTCACAAGGCTGTCTCTCATGTTTGTTTACCAACTGGCAACGAAGAATTAATACCGCCAGCCAGCAATTGTACAGAAGATTTTTTCCATCCACAGATCTCCAATAGCTTTACAAGAGGTTCCCAGTTCAGAGATGGGAAACTGAAGCACGCAGGAGTTGTGTGATGTTGAACAGGTCACCTAAGTCACTGGTACAGCTGGGAAAGAAAGCCCCAGGTGTCTCAGTTCCTACCATCCAACTGGTTCTCTGAAATAAGCAGACTGCACTGGTAGAGCCCTAAGCCCAGTAGCAGGACCTGCCCATCACAGGAGTAAGGACTTATGTGGCTGCAGACAGCAGCTTTATTAGGTGAGGCAAAAGAAAGCCTCTCGGGCAAGATGGCAGGAGATGTGAAAAGCTCACCTTAGATGTACTGAGGGCTTTGAGCACCAGCAACTGCCTACACCAGTAGCGCTGGTCTATTCAGCAATGAGCCAACTAGCTAGATTCTCCTCAGCAGCAGCAGGGCTACAGAAGTTCCCCAATCTCCCCCATAGGGCTGTACAAACCATCACCGTAGCGTTGACCAGCTCAGATGGGAAGAGCTTAGCACACAGTTGTAATCTGAAGGCAACCAGTAGGGTGGAAGTGTGGCCTAGTGGAGATGGCACCGGAATAGGACTTTGGAAACCTGGGTTCTGTTCCCGGCTCTGCCACTAACCCGTTGTGTGACCTTGAGAAAGTCACTTCATCGCCCAGTGCCTCAGTTTCCCCTCCCACCCTATTTAGCATGTAAGCTCTTCAGGGCAGAGCGTGTCTTCCTACATGTTTGTACAGCACCTAGCATACTGGGGCTGTGCTCCTGGTTGTGGCCTCTAGGCGCTACTGCAATACAAGTAATAACACATGCATCACTCAATTCTCCAGGTCAGGCATTTCAACACTCTCCCCCAGTGACTGCAGATGACACTAGCAATAAGCCCTAATTCAACCTCAGTAGGGAGGAGAACCTCATCGGCCTGTTTCTGGAGCTGCATGTTGGGTCCCGGTGTTGCATGTGTGCGGTCCAGCAGACACCCATAGATGTCTCTACCAAGACAATGAATCCATGCCCGGGAGTTCTAACAACAGCTTCCTCCCTAAGCAGAGCGGACCATCTACTGACCCCTGTGCGCCCAGGTTGCAGCCAGAGTGCCAAGAGGAGGAGGAAGGAGGAGGCCGGATCCGTTGGTTGTCATCCTGCATCTGCAGCCGGATGGGCCTGCGCAAGCCCCAGGAGATGTTCAGCAAACCCTCGACGATGAACTCGCCTTCCTCCTGGGCAGCAAACACAAAGACACACATCAACATCTCAGAGCGCTGCCTTGGCCAGAGCCCTCTCCTCCTCAGCAAGGCAGATATAAACACACAGCCCTGCCATCCTGTCCTGCCCTTACCCCCCACCAGGCTCTCCAAACACTTGATCGTCACTAACAAAGCCTCACAATGTGAGAGACGGGCCATATCATCTCCACGGTATGGACAGGGAAATGGAAAGCCAAATGGTGTTGGATTTACTCAGTGTGTGACATCATGCCATTGGGCAATGTTGGAAACAGAACCAGGAGTCCTGACTCCAGGCCTGGTCTACGCTTAAGTTTTAGGAGTAATATTTTGCTTAGGGGCATGATTTTTTTAAGCCAATGTAGTTATACTGGTAAAAGCCCTAGAACGGAGGCAGTTACACCAGTATAAAGAGACTTTGTACTGGTATAGCTTATTCCCTTTCCCATATGGAAATAAGTATACTGGTAGAAAGCACCTTTACGGAGATACGGCTGCACACAGTAAAGGTAGTTGTGTCTCTTTAATGACACCAATATAGTTAGTGAGATACATTGGATCTTTATGTCTCCCTCCGTAAAATAGGAACTCAGGACCCCACAGCTGTAGAGCTCCTCCTTGCAATAATAACCAGCAATCAGCTTGCTTTGCCAGCAGTCACTTTTTGACCTCCAAGGTGGGCATTGACCCAGACGGTCTCGTTTTTCCACGCAGCCTCCTCCATCTAAGTCACAAGACCAGCCTGCTCGATATTTACTCATTGATTTCTCACCTCTCTGTACCGGAGCTGCAAATTCTGACCTTCATAATACAAGTTGTAGGTCTTCAAGTGCAACAGCAGTTCGTTTCTGGAAGATAAACAACATTAATGCAGGCAAGGAGTCGCACTGAGACGAGGAAAGAACCAAAGCCTGAGAAACTCAGGTTCTTATGCTGCACCCGGCCCTGTGGTATCAGAGCGCCTGAAATGGTAACCTGAAGGGGCTGACCTGAAGCAGGTTTGATGGAGTCAGGAATGACTTTCCAGAGCCAGGGCTGGATTAAGGCAAACGGGTTATAGGCAAGATGCCTCACGACCACGCAGCCCTGCATCTACATGGGACGGCAGGAGCAGGCTCCCCACGGCAGAGCCATCTGATGCCCTGCTGAGGGACTTAGCACTGCTTCTCTTTGGCCAGGCTCAGGCTACCCCACTTGTACAGCCCTGGGATCTGCCCAGGAGACTGTCTGCAGGCTCTTGCAGGAGTCACTGCAGTGGTTACGCTCGCGTCGCTCTTTCAAGCTTTTCTTTACAACGGCAAGGGATGGAAAAACATTTTCTCTTAGATATGAAAGTGGAGATTCCCACGGGATCTCCTGACTGTGGGAGACGAGGCCCTGGGTGTGGGTCCGTAGCACTGATAGCTTAATCCAGCCATATCCAGAGCTTGCATTCAACGACTGAGGGCTACGAGACCAGACCTTGGTCATTCCCTGCCTCAGCTTCCACTCACACTGCACGGAAAAGGGGCGTGTTGGGGAAAAGCACAAGCATGCTGAGGTGGAAACAGAGACCCTCTTCCCAACCTTCGTGACGTGGCGCACAACAGCTGCCATCTGAAGAGGGGAACTCACTGCTCCCTAGAGGTGCATCAGGCTTCTGTGTAGCTCCTACTACTCCAGATATGGGGCTGGCAGCGAGGACAGGCTGACATAAACAGGACTCCCCACCCTTACCCCTGTACACATACACCTCCTTTCCTTCTCCTCTCCTGTACCTCAGCCTGTCTTGATGGACCTTAACAGAGCACCCACCGTCCTTGTTACCAACGAGTGCCAGGCGGCCCATGCTTTCCAGTAGGGATTCTTCCCAGGCAGTTACTGAGCACTAAGCTGGAATCTGGAGCTGGTGACCATTTGGTATATGCATTATTGCAGCACCTAGATTCTCTCTCACTCACCCACCCACCCACCCCGCACAGAGTCAGAGACTGTCCCTGCTCTAAACAGACACGACTGGGGCGGGGAGTATTATCCACATAGAAGGCAAAGTGCGGCCCTGAGCAGTTAACTGATTTGACCAAGACAGTCTTTGATAAAGCCAAGAATAAAGTCCCGAACTTCTGAGTCCTAGTCCAGGATCTTAACCACATGGGACAAGGAGTACTCTGTGCCACTCTGTGCTGCCAGCTGCACATCTGGAAATGCGGAAAAACCGATACCCAGAGAACCGGAACCACATCCTAGAGGTCCAGTGATCACTTCCCATTTTGTTTCCATAAGCCCCTTCTTAAAACAATCTGCAGGGTGCATCAACGTATCGGCCCTAGAGATGGGCAATGATTTTGCCCCACTCTAAGCACTCGCACCAAATATGGGGGCCATCAATGCTTGTTTATTGCATCTTCCAGTCAAGAGTAAGGAGTGCGCCCCCACAACGACTGTGTCCTGCCAGCCAACACTGCCCTGAAGGAATGCTGTCTGGGCTTCGCAAGAGGCCTTTCTTCCAATGATCAAAAAACCCACTGCAACAAAAAACTCAGACAGACCGACCTTGATGAAGCAGACTTCAAGGCTGCAAGACAAGCAGCTTAGGGAACACACAGTCATTTGACTTGGTACCGCATTTATTGTCAAAATAATAAAACAGCCCCCATCACAACACATTTCTGATGTCTATTCACTGCACCAGCCCCCCATCTTACAGTTTAAACAGCACCACAGGTGTAGATACCGAATGGAGGAGGGGAGGGAAAAGAGAGACCTAGCATAGGTACACAGGTCCAGATCCTCGAAGGTGTTTAGGCACCTAGGTCCCATTGATTTCGATGGAGGTTAGGAACATAAATATGTTTAAGAATTAGGGCCCTCGGGCCTGATCCTCTGGGTAGCTTTGGCTGCTTGGCACTACTCTGACAATGCAAAGCAGCCAAAGCACATTGGCCGGTTTGGCCCGGAGTGCGGCAGGTGCAGTATTTTCCTGACCTCTAGAGGCGTTTTTTTTTTCAGTATGGGAATAACATTGTTCTCATGCAAAGGTCACTAAATGTCTGATCCATCCAACCAGGCATCTCACAAATTGCCCAATCACTGGACTATTAGGTATCACCTGGGTAACGTTTCTATTAAAATACCATAGGACGGACACCTAGCATTTGCACAACACTTCCAATTCGCAGGTGTCAAACTCTGCAAAGGTGGGGGAGTTAGAATCGTAGCAGATTAGGGTTGGAAGAGACCTCAGGAGGTCGTCTCGTCCAACCCCCTGCTCAAAGCAGGACCAACGCCAACTAAATCATCCCAGCCAGGGCTTTGTCGAGCTGGGCCTTAAAACCTCTAAGGAAGGAGATTTCACCACCTCCCTAGGTAACCCAATTCCAGTGCTTCACTACCCCCTCGCTCTCATCTGTCACTAGATTGCCTCCCCCCATTCAGTAAGGGTCCCACACTTTCCCTGACCACCTTCTTGTTGCTAACATACCTGTAGAAACCCTTCTTGTTACCCTTTGCATCCCTTGGTAGCTGCAACTCCAATTGTGCCTTGGCCTTTCTGATTACACCCCTGCATGCTCGAGCAATGTTTTTATAAATATACATAATTATCACCATTCCTATTTTACAGATAGGAAAACTGAGGCAGACAGACTATAGCCAAAAATTTCCCAAAACACTTGTCCAGTGATTTGGGGGCACCTCAATCTAAGGCACATGCAGAGATTCGGGCCTGGTCTACGCAACTTTTGTTCCAGGGTAACTATTTCAGTTAGGGGGGTGATTTTTTTTTTTCTTCTTACCAACGTAATTCTACTGATCTGTTATTATAGCTTATTCCTACTTAGTGGGCTGGGTAATAACCAGCATCTTTCCATCTTCATCTCCTTGGCTGCAACCCATTCAATGATTTCTCAGCCATGGAATGTTACTATTCCCCTCATGGCTCCTCTGTGGATTTTTCCATGCTTTGCATCATCAATTGCTAGAGAGATCACCTCCCCTTCCACCTCTGTCCACAGCTTTAAGTTCTTTGTGTGTCTGCATCTGCCCCTCCTCCACCAGTCACCAGGGCCTTTCATAAATAAATCATAATACCAAAAATATTTCTGTGTTAAACTCTGGTTGTAATCTTACTTTGAAATGTATTTGTCTTTTCCACAGGGGACTAGGGATGACTGGCTGCAGTAATCCATCCTCACAATCTTCTTTCATTAGGAGCAGAGATCTGAATTGTGGGGGGGGGGTGGAGGGAGAAAAATACAAGAGAAATTTGCATTAATCACTGCATCATTTCCATCTTAATATGTGCAGATTGGGCCGGATCCAAAGCCCAGTCGACTCAGCGGGAGTTTTTCCACTGACTTCAGAGCTTTGGATCCATCTGTCAGCTACATCAGTCCATGGTGCAGACGGCAAAATAGAAAGTTCCAATTCAAATGATGGACTTAAAAGCGGAAATATGAAAAGTCAGGTGAGGGGAAAGTAAAGAGAATCACTGCAAGTGCACCATACTAAGCCGACCCAGGGAGACACAATTAATAGAATACTTTGTATTTCTATTGTACCCTTCCACCCAAGCCCTTTTCAGATAGGAAGGTATTGAGCCCGTGAGGCAGATATTATACCTGTTTTACAGATGAGGAGAAGACGACACTTGCACTTGGCCTCTAGTGTTCTGGTTTCAAGTCCCAGTTCTACTGCAAACTCCCCACTTACAAGCAATTCACTTACTCTCTGTGCCTCAGTTTCTCATCTGTGAATGAGGATAATTATCCTCTCTCTCTCTCTCTTTCATCTATTCAGGTTCTAAGCACTTCCGGGCTGTTCTTACTTTATGTACAGCACCTGGAGCGTTGGGAACTTTAGGTGTGATCATAAAAACAAACACTCACTGACTTGCTGTAGGTCGCACAGCGAGCCATTTGGCAGAGGCAGAAATAGAACCCAGGAGTCCTGATCTCCCACCTTCTACCGATGGATAATTGTCAAAGGTTAGGGCAATGACCATTTTATTGTGCTGTGTTTGTACAGTGCCTAGCAGAACGGGGTCCTGGTTCATGACCAGAGCGCTCCTAGGTGCTATTGCATTAATAATGATAATCATGTTTAACCCACACATCCAAAGGTTTGGAGGGACATCTCTTAAATCTAACAGGCTCTGATCAGTTACCCGGAGCTGCCAGTTACTTTCTGAGCTGGAAATGCCAGGGGCACCTCTGAAGGTATGTTGACACTTCCACTCCCTGGATTCCCACAGGTGCAAATAGGACGGGGGTGGCGGGAAGGAGAACTATTTATCATTCAGATCAGATTCCAGTTTGGGTCAGTTCTCACCCACCCCTGCTCACAGCAAGGTTCCCCTCCATCCTACCACTCCTTATCAGGATGCAACTTAGGATACCCTCTGTTGTTTTGAGAATGGCTGCAACAGACACAGAAACCTCCATCCAGTTCAGTGGTGTTTCTAAAGGGAGACTAGAGGCCAGGCAACCTTGGATTCTACAGATAGGAAGAAAATTTGGAACATGCTTTTCGACTCCACTGGATCAGGAGAGGTGTTTTGGTTGAACCCAGTAGGGAAAATGATAAATAAACAAATACAAAGACAGTTGGCCTGAACACAAGACTCTCCTTTGACCAATCACCAGCAGCCCGAGGTGACATGCATTTTCCCCCCCATGTATCAACACCAAATATCCCCAGCCATCATATTTGAATCTGCTTCTAAGGAGAAGCTTGTTTGAATTCCCCAGTGGAAAGTAACACTGTCTTTGATCAGCTGGGGCCTCAGTCGAGCTGTTGTGACTATTTCACATGAAACACTCGACCACCTGAACATTTTGGGTCCTGCCTTTCGTTTCAGTTGCAAGGGAACAACACCATTTCACACACAAAGAACTGCCTGTTTCCCCTGTATACACTTGGAAAAAACAAACCAGTTGTGTTTTCAGCCTGATTTCACTGCCCTAAAAAAAAAAAAAAAAAAAAAAAACCTACATATTATAAACTTTCAAATGCAGAATGGCCTTGCCACCAAAGTTGATTTTTTACACTGAGGTCCAATGATTTATTTATTTATTGCAATTGCATGGGTTTAGATGTGGAGACAGACACTTGCCAAAAAAAAGTCATTCATTTTTTTACCTCTGAAGTGTCCCCACATGAAAATGTCCGTTTTTATTTATTTATTGAGAGCTACGAAGCATAACTAAAATGAGATGTTTTCCAAGACACCCAAGAGCTTTAGGCACTTTGGAAAACACAGGCTCCTAACTCACTTGGGTGCTTGTACAATTTTTTACTTAAACTCTCACTTCAATTACTTAACAAATAATTAGAAATCATTGCATTACTTTGAAAGATGTACGCTTTTCAGGGCACATTTCTTCATTACGTGTTTGTGAAGTGTCTAGTACAAGGGGACCCTGATCCCTGTTTGAGACCTGTAGGTGCTACCCCAGCACAAATCAGACACTTCTGTAATAGATACTTAAATATGAGATTTCATGCCAAAAATATCCTCCACTTTATACACAACACACACGCACTTTCCTCAGCTGTACAATGGCAATACTATTATTGGACCTCCTTTGTAAAGTGCTTTGAACTCTGCGGATGAGAAGCACTCTGAGATCCAGGTATTATTGTTATTCGTTTCCTAAGGAAATTGCTCAGTCCTTCTCTTCGTCGTGAAGAGAAGGGCCCACGTGTTAAGTTAAAGATACAGGGTCTTCTAGCTCAGTATCACACTGAAGTCGATGGCAGATCCACGTGGTTGTAGCAGGGTCTGGAGTGAATTTCACAGCACTACTGCACAGGGAAGTCACTCCAGGACCTCAAAGCCCTTCACACAAATAAGCTAGTTCGCTTCACACTGCAAGGAGGTGGATATTTTACAGAAGGGGAAATGAAGGCACAATGAGGTGACTTGCCCGCAATCACACGGGAGCCAATGACTGGGTCAGAAATCCCTGCTCCCAGTTCTCCTGGGCCACAGTTAGGATACCCTCTCCCATCCCACACTGGCACAATCCTGACCAAAACTGCAGCTACATTCCAACTCCATGCTTCTAAATCCAGCAGCAGCCCAAGCACAAAAGCCTATATTTAAACCCAGCAACAGCGAGCGTGAGACACAAGCAGACAAAGGGCAGGAAATTCAAAGCTACAGCTAACAACTCCGTCCACAGTGCATTGTCCTGAAAAAGGAGAACAGAAACTCAAAATAAGAACGCAACTAACGACGGAAAGACTAACTCAGCTTTTCATTTCCTAGCTTATGCTACTGAGTTTCACAACCACCTCAGCAAGGCTGAAATAGTTGGGTTAAGCTGTGAATGGCCTGGACGGAGGCAGGCAATGTTCACTTAGAAAAATTAGAAGGAAATACTCTTTTTTTTCATTGGAGACTAACAAACATTAATATTGACCAGAGGTGTGTTACTGGTCAGGCAAACATGAGCCATGTTTAGACTGACACATTATGAACTCTGGACAATTATTACTATTAGCACTGACATAGCCCTACAAGTCGCAGCTGTGATTGGGGTCCCATTGTGTTAGCTAATGTACCCACACGTAGCAAAGACCGTGCTTGCCCTGAAGAGCTTTTACAGTCTAAAAGTTGGGGAAAAGTAGTATTGTCTCCAGTTTACAGATGGGGAGACTTAGGCACAGAGAAATTAAGGTCACACAGGAAATCTGTGGCAGGGACAGGAACTGAAACCAGATCCGGCACACCGTTTAGATAGACAAAGGATGGGAGGGGAAACTGAGGCACAGACAGAGAAGCAACTTGCCCAAGGTCACACAAGAGATCAGTGCAAAGCTGGGAATAGAACCAAGTCTCCTAACTCCAAGTCCAGTGGGCTGTCCACTAGACGACACTGCCTCTCAATGTTTTAGTATCCGTGTTGTGGTCTCTGGGTCTTGTATCATTCCTCTCCCCTTTTTAGACTTGTTCCACGTACATGCTCATTTTGATAGGCAGAAATGTATCTGTGTAATCTGACTAATTAACTTCACAACCAACCAATCTCAATGTTATTCACCTCCAAGGAGGTGAACAATGGAAACTTACAAAGGGAAAAATCCTGATTTATCAATGGCAGAAGTCAAGAACAGCACTTCTCTACCTCATGCGAGCGTGGAGAAGTTCAGTGCTCGTAAAGAGATCCTCAGAAGAAAAGCGTCGTGGTGCGTAGTGCAGTCCGCATCCTAACAGAGAGATTCTCTTGTGGACCAATTCCCCGCCCGTTGCGGATCACATAACGGTGTCTAGTAGAGGCAGCTGGGCTCTTCCTCACTCACAGACGTTCTCAAAGGCCATCAGGCTGTCCAGCGAGGAGCCTGGACATCTATCTCAACAGCCTCCTTCCCAGCCAGCTCGCCAAAGACCATGGCCCACAGATTGATCTCTGAAGAGATAAGGGATGTATTCCCAGCACGGCCACTGACTCGGACCTTTTCCCCCCTTCTCTCTCTCCCCTGCCCCCATCAGTAAAACAGGAATAACACTGACCTTCACACCAGAATTTCTGTGACCTCTGAATGAAGAGTGATATGAAATTGTAAGATATTAAGTGGACAGAATTACTGCTATAGAAACAAACAACATACTCACAGGACAGATCTTGCCATGCACTTCTACACCCAGTTCTCCCTGAACGCTCAGCAGAAACATGGGTAGAGAACCAGCGACCAGCTCCTCATGCCCTCTTTGAAAGAGCAAAAATTCAAGACAGAGCAAGAGGGTGCTATGAGTAATGGGGCCGGCCGGACGGCATAGATATCCAAACAGAATGGATGAGCATCCGTAGGCCAAACTGAAACCAGGATGGGCGAAAAATCCCTCGGAGACCCGTAAATGAGGAAATTATGTCTTATTCTATGCGAGCTCAGAAGGGAGGAACAGAGCAGAGACGGCATTGCTGCGGGGGAGGGGTGGGATCCATCCATCTCTCAGACAAGAGCAATTGCTATTACAAAGACAGCAGGGCCGGAGGGATAGGTGACTGATAGGCGAGTCGGGAAGAGGCGACAAGGCTGCATCCGAGACACACAGACTGATGCTGAGGCAAATACATATAACCAAGATTCGCAGCAGTATGGCTGAAGATCAACCTTTCAACAAGATGTCTGGCCTGGGAAAGTTTCCAGCCACCTTGTACCACCTCAATTTGACCTTCCCTGAGGATGGAGTCTTTTGACCTCCTGAGGT